CTAAAAGTCAGGTCCAATGCATTGCATCAGACAGGAAAAGTGTTCTGTACGACGCCACTGAGTCCACATGCTTTCAAGAGTTTAACGTGTAGGACTTCTGAGAAGTCAAAGCAAATTTAAAGCACTAAACTGTAAGTAATATTTCTAAATAAGCTTACGAATGAAATAGAACGGCAATAAAATACTATAATAGAATTGCCCGTAGAGAGTTTCAGATGTCCAAATGTTTATGTGTTTTGAGTATCACAAAAATGCATGCCAGTGTACAATCTCATAACCTCTTACATATATATTCCTGACAAAAAAAAGATGCATTATGAAAGGAGAATTAACTAAAGTTCTCCCAGTGTTCCAGAGAAATCTAAGCTAGTCTAGAACAAGTGGTCATCTTAAACATTGTCTATTGGAACAGCATAAGGGGCAAATTAGATAAACCAAGCTAAATGATCGCCATTGGTCAACATCTAGCATAGATTTATCCTTGTTTATAGGAATTTAAGATCGAAATTCAGAAGTTTCTTCAATCATACAACATAAAATAAATGCAACATTTCATTTAGTTGAAATTTTTTTTGTATTTTGAATTAATCACTAAAAAACAATTAGAAAATTCCAAATTTTAAACCATAACCCACCCACCACCAAAAACAGAGGATCGAATTGCACACGCAATTCAGTGTAAACAAGGTCAATTTACCAGCTCACCTGCTTGAAAAAGGAGGATGCCTCCCCAATTCACCGTGCTCCGAATTCTTCAAATTTTCCAATCCACTTTGCGGAAGACCCAACATATCTCCAGCCATTGCTGTCTGGGGATCCAAAGATTGCATATTTCCATCAGAATATGTCGGTTGTGAAACCAGTTCCAGCCCATCTTTGATCTGGCAGGCAACTGAAGAGCTTGAGATATCAAGTTATCAACTACTATTTGAAGAAGGTACTTAGAAAGAGAATATACTATTTAGCACCCAACACTTTGGATAAGTTAAGATTTGTTAGCAACATCATGAAAACTTGAACCTGAACTCAAAGCCACCAAAACAAAAAAGAAAAGTTTGTAGTATAGCAATAGGACACAACCAAAACAATCCCCACCTGTACTAAACTAAACCCTGAAGTGTAACAAATAAAAGCTTAAGGTTACATAAAACTCAAAGGACACAAATTGAAGAAAATGATAATAACAAGACATATTAAGACCCTACCACATCAACATTCAGCCCAATCAACCAGGTAAGACAGGCTTCCTCACTGTTCCCACCTGCTAAATTTATAGCACATTCATAGTCATAATTGCTTAGGGTCTGATTACATTTAAGTTATTTTGCATTTGATTGGATTTGTTGGATAAAGTGAGTTAATTTTGAAACAAGTTGATTGTGTTTGGTTTGAGTGGGATTGAGTTTGTATTTAAATAATATATAAAATATAATAATTAAAGTTGATGTGGTGGTGATTGGAAGTGATGGGTAATTAAAATTATGCAAGTGAAAATATAGTTTATTAAAGTTGATGTGATTTGTGAAGATGATTGATTAGTGTTATTTAAGTATATTAATAACATTAAGGAGAATTGAGTTGAGTTAAATTTGAGTTGGACTTGGAGTTAAAAAAAAAAAATATTCGGTTAGTCAAAACCGGATATTTATATCCAATCAGGCTCTTACCCCCCATATTCAGTATAATTCAGTGACTATATGACAAGTGAACAGTGCAGCTCAAGAACTTCCTTAGTTCACAGAACAACAGGTTATTTGCTACACGTCTCTAAATGAAGATGTGCTTGAAAACATTATTTACTACACGTCTTGAGTGGTTTCAGTTCACTAAAGATTCTCTACTTCTGATGTTAGTAAGATGTCAATAGCACACTCTATACGTATAAGGAATTGCATTTATTCTATTAATGGCAAAATGCAGCCATCCAAAGCCTCAAGGAACAACTCAACTATATTTAAAGTTCTTATAATGAATTGACATTCATGCAAAATTCAAAGCAACAAATATGATATCATTAGTTTATTAAATTGACTAGCATGTCGACCATACCTCAATAGGATAGATTGGAGACTGAGGAAAGTTGGAGAGATTCGTATCAGAACGCCAGGGTGCTAGCTGGTACTGCGATTCTTTGAGTTTTCCCTACAAGCAATAGGCAAAACGGTGATGCCAACGGTGATGCCAGAAGTTGGCACAACATAGAGGCATGCCACAAGCAACATCAACTCATCAATTATGGCTGCGTGGATGTACATCCGCAACTAATTACATTTTGAATATTTGTTCACCTCAGTAACATACATACCTCAGTCACAAGAAGCTGCTCCTGTAAATGTCTAAACAAAACCTGCAATTGCAGAACTCTGGCATAATTACATAGTCATGACAATCTCTCTTCTCGTCAAAAAAACTACAGATGATAACAAAGTCGAGATAAATTATCGATTATCAAATTTGGACTTATGACACCCCTATGAGTAGGTCTGGCTCTTTAAGCGACATAAAGAATAAAAGAAATGCAGCCAGCAGATACATTTAAAAACTCCTAGTGCCATTTATGAATCAAAGGAAAGTTAAAAGAATTTTTTTACTAAAGTGAACTTCACATTAGGGCATCCATATCCATACCCATTCATTTAATCACAAACTACTCACTTTATCATCCACATATTAAACGTCCCTCCATTTAAATACTCTTCCACATTTATCATTCATTTAAATGTTGTGGGATCCATTAAACAATTAAAATATAAAAACTAAATGAAAGTGGCAACCTGAGAGCCGTGATATTTTAAAATTATTTTGACCCCACATTTTTGTGGTTAACGCCATTCAATTGAGTGAATAGCAAATGTGGGGCCCATTTATTTTGTCATCAAACAGATTATATACATTGGCTGAATGAAAGTTTTTTACATTTAAATGGCAGAAAAATGAAACGATGTAGATGCTCATAGTTATACAACATCGGAAACAGTAGAAATATGACCAAAGGACCATTGTGGGAAACCCCAGAAAACTTGCTCTACCAGTTAGCAATATATTCATCTTCAGCTCTATAAAACAAATAAGGATATACAATCATTATTAACAATGGCCTAATTCACTGTACAAGTTTGAATATTCAAACCGTATAATAGTCATCTTATTCAAGGCATCACGAAAGAGACATAGCATTCCTACAATTAAAATGACTGAATTGCTGATACAGAAGTTAGCAAATTCGAGCACACGGTTAAATCTATTAACAGAAATGTCCACCTACTGCAAAATTCTTAAAATTCAAACTCATTCTTAAACATTTTAATCCTCTGTCTCAGTCATTTTAAGATTCTAATTCTTAAAAGACCACCTCCATGCAGTTTCAACTTATCAAGAGCTGATAGTTCATCTTAACTGTTTATAATGCTAAAAGGCAATGCTATCCATAACAATCACATGAAACAACTGAAAGGGTGTTGCATATCGACCTTGACATTACTGACAATGGATTGTGCATCGGCAGCAAGCGGCTGGAGAGAATACTCCGTAAGAAGGGGCATTAAAGAACTTACGAATGTTGTTCTTTCTTGTTGAGCAGCCTGAAAACCAAAACCAAGGCTGTCCATAACTAATTTATCTAACGTATGTAAAATGAAGAGGACATTACTGATTGATTATTCAACTAGATCTTGCTGTGTCAGTCATTCATTAAGAAATGATGTATGAGGAGACTGTCATTACAGGATTTCATACCTGTAATGCATACTTTAGACGAACATTCTCCTCCATTATGTCCTGTCTGTATGAAACTGCTTTTGAAGCAGCAAGAATGAGATCTTGTTGTTGCTGATCAAATGCCTTTGCACAAAAATTACCCAAAAACTCCATCAGTATTCACAAGACACAAAAAAATCCACATAAGGTTCTTTAGCGTACCAGTCGCATGTATGATATTCGTTTCTCGAGGGCGTATTTCTCATTGCTGATTTGTGCTTCCTAAAAGAAATAAATACAAAGTGGGAACATATAAGCATGGATATAAGTACAGTAACCAAAGGAGATCTTCCCATTCTACCTTTATTGAGTATTCTGCAAGATGCCTTTTCAACTGTTGAATCTCCTCTTCATGGTCTCGAATCCTTGCAACAATATCCTACCCAGATGCATTCACACAAAAGATACTAGAGGATAGATGACAAATGACTTATAGTGTAATTTAACTTTTAAATAAATAAAGATCATCGTAAACCTTTCTCTTGTCAAGGCAAAACCAAATGACAATCCATTCTGATTCTATATTACCTGCTTCGAACTATTGTCAGCCATTGAAATCAAATCCTTCCCCGAATATCCATACTCCAAGTCCAAATTGCTTTGCTGTGGGTACCTGTCAAAGCAGAAAAAAGAAAATTACAAATAAGACAACCACCAGTTTCCAGACCAATTATTTTCACCCGCTCCATTCATCTAACATACCTTGTAGGCGTAAACAATGTGATAGATGGTGACTGAATCTGTGAGACTCCAGAATTATCTGATGCTCCAAGATTCGAGCTCAATGATCCATTTGCTGTATTGCCATCAGTTTGGTTTTCTACACGAGTTTCCATTGCATGATTCTTATTACTCCGAATCACATCTGATTCAAGTGTATAAGAATTTGGCGAATCATGCTGAGAAGTGATTCCCACAGTGTACTCATCACCTATTTTATTTCCCATCTTTAAAATTTCTTGATCAGTTCGATACAGCTCGTGGCCACCCCATCGATCAGCATTTTGAGATGTTTGATATTTGACATCAACTGATTTCTGCAACAAAAAATAATAACATAGATTTTTTGAAATGAGAGTCTGCCTAAAATTATGCACCATAAATATCTGTAGTTGTATGATCAAGTAATGCAACACCCATGAATAAATAAGAAGCTTTAGAAAGGAAGTTCATAAGAAATTTCAACAGCAATGCATACAGCCCTCAGTAAGCATTGTTTTAGTTCAACAAACGTTATTCTATTACCATCATAGTGCTGCTCTCAGTCTCCACTACATTATTCACATCTCACGCTTTATTTCTCCTTTCCACATCAATTTCTTGAGGCTGAGGTGCTGATGTGAGAAAAGTGGCAGTTGAACATCACACAAGCCAGAAGAATATTCTAGAATTATCCTTGGAACATAAAGAAGATGGACATCATCAAAGATAATCTCAGCACACACCATAGATGAGCACTAAGAGATGATTTATGCAAGGATATATAGTTTAGTTTCCACATTCCATCAGTGGAAACAGCAAAAGGTTCAGGGCTCAACCAAACGAACAAGTCGTGTGAACTTCAAAACAGAATTGGGATTTTCAGCGTAGCATCTATAATTCATATCCGCAACTTCTGGATAAATAATAATATGTCCTTCCTCATGATCACATATTAGGACTAATGTATGAGGCTGTATGTGGATCCAATTGAAAGCTGAAGACACACAAGTATGAATATGGGTCTTCTGCCTCCCTCTCTCTCTCTCCCTCCCTCTCCCTCCCCTCCCTCCCTCCCTCCCTCCTATCATCAATTATCACACGAAATGAATAGTGGATCAAACACCTAGTGAAGGAACTCTTACATATTTTTCAAGTTCCTCATCTTTTTTCTGAATTTCGGATCTCAATCGGTTGTTCTCTTCTACCTGTATGGCACAAAACAGAAAAATAGCATTGATCAACTCACAGTCACGGTTAATATGCTCATGAATGCAAAGAGCAAGTCATATTTAAAGTAGCATTATTAATAAGCTCACGGTGCAAATAGCAAGTTCATCGTGTAAAATTATATAGCGCTAAAGGAAAATGAAAATACAATGGCATTCAAAGTGTTCATCGGTTTCAACTGAACGGCAATTTATAACACGATTGAGTGTATAACATCATTGGGTGCAAAGATCAGTTCAAATATTACTTATGATTTTGTAACATAATTTTGCTTTAAAGAACTTCATAGAGATGGTTGCATACTTTCATTGAGAGGATTTGTTCTTCATGTTATTCATTTTCAAGGCCCCACTAGACGTTTAGGGATGCAAGAGAGATGAAAATCTTGACTCTTTTTCCACTATAATTCCAGCAAAACCATGGACCAGTAGCACATACCAGAGAAAGACAAAAAATACCTGCTGTTTGATGGTTGCCTCAGCAGCTTCAACAGCTTTCATAACCTGAAACAATCCATCACTGCCATTGGCACTGTACGAGTCGGCCACCTTCAATGCTGCAAATTCGCTCTCTAAGTTACCTTCTCCATTCTCCATCTCTCCCTTTCACCTCTGTACACCAGACCAATTTATTTACAAGTGAAAAGTGACAAAGAAAGATACATACACTAAATTTTCCCCAAGGAAGATACAACAACAATGTTAAACATAGTATGCACCTGCAAATCGCTTACAGATGGAGCTGCTGCTCAGCTCGTAAGTAGAAAAATTCACGTGCCCAAGCACCCGCTGCCCCTAATAATCGCACCCACATGTTCTCGTTTGCCCTCCGCACCTCCAATCTTGATTACTTGTAATTTCTGAAAGTAGCCCACCAACTATGAGACTCATCTCAACAACAACAACAACAACAACAACAACAACAACAAAAAAAGAACAATAAGAAGAAGAAACAAGAGGAGACAAAAGCACGTATACTCAACCCCTCTCCTCTAAGAAGAAACAATACAAACAGCAAACACACCACAAATGACAAGCCCAACTGCCAATTGTACCAAATTGATAAACTCACATGACAAAACAACATGATAACAGCTAGCCACCACCACCACCACTACCCCCCCTAATCGCAATACTCACCTCACAGAAGATGGCCGGAGGCTTTCGGGGTCTCAGGTCGCCGGCGAAACAGCGGCGGCTGGAGCTCAAAACGGGAGAGTGGCGATTTAGGGCTTAGGGTTCCAAGCGAAAAGGACTGGGTACGGCGTTAAGACTAACTGGGTGCTTTTTCTGCAGTGATTTAGTAAAAGACGCCGACGTAGTCGATGGGGTTTGGTGGTGTGAGACGAGAAACACACTTCACGCCGGCAGCAGCTGATGACGACGATGACGGTCTTTCAAAAGGTGGCGCCGGTGGACTTGTTCGCACTCAATAAAACCCCGAATTTAATTATTATTTTTTTTCATTAAAAAAGAAAAGTGCAAGCGTAAAATAAAAGTTCTTTAATTATTTTGAATTTTTTTTTATTTAAATTTATTGTTTTAAAGAAAAGTGCAAGCGTAAAATAAACGTTCTTGCGATAGCATGTGATGATGATTGATGATGAGTTTGATGCGAAATACTATAGTCTCGTTACGAAATCATTTTATAACCGTTAAATTATCATGTAATTGTCGGACAACATTATATGCATAATTATAGAATTATGTATAAACTGATGTTCGCATAATGGAATATGCTGGACTTTTAACGGGATGATATTTATTTGAATAAAACATACAAATGAACCACAAATAAATAAATATTTTATGGACGTAGGCCTATCTGGTTGTTTATGAGCATTTTGTACAGGTTGATTTATTGAGTGATTTGCAAAATGAATTTCTCTAATCTCTATCTTTTACTAATAAACTTATATTGAATAATCAACTTATTCATAAGTCAATAGTCAATTTTTAATTGGTGATACTGAAAAATAATGACAATGTATAACAATTGTATGCATGTACAACAGTACAAGTGTTTTCTTTTCTTTTACTTTTTATATGTGGATGATAAAAGATTGTATGTTAGGCATATATATTTTGTTGATTTTGTTTACTTGTGTATATAGGTATAAAAGAACTTGATAATCTTGTTTACACATGTATTTTTGCTAGAATAAATCTCAAAATCAGTTCACTTTGTGGCTGGAGTTCGAGGTTGTAAGTATTAAGAGTGCACAAATCGCTTGGTGATCAACCTTTCTCAATGATATTATTGGAGTATAGACTTTCAAATGTAATTCGTGATTTGAAACACCGAAACATTTAATATTTTAATTATATTATAAAATTATGCATTTAATATTTTCGTCATTTAAATATACACTTTTATATAAACTATGTACATCATAGTGTTACTAATGAATCATGTATCATATAATAAACATATACAATATAAAAATTTATAAAAAGTTTTTTTTAAAAAAAAATATTAAAAAAAAATGGACCATGTCAAAATGCCCGAGTCAATTGGGTCAAGTCGGGTTTACTGATTTGAAATTTTTGGTTGTTGGTCCAAGCTAGTGGCTAGCGGTCACCGACAACGATTTTCAGTTGTCTGTTAAATTAACTCGGATAGTATTTTTATACAAAATGACGTATAAAACCAAACAATAAAATACATAAAACGAAATAAAAAAAAATTACAAAAACACATGCAAAATCAATTAACATAACGGACCAAAATTTTTATAGATGAGATGAGATGTACTTGAAAGTATATGGTAAAATCACCTAAACATGCAAAACATGATTTATAATTTCAAGCAATTTTTTATAATTGAATTGTTAATAATCAAAAAAAAAAAAAAAAACATTATTATGCATGAGCATCACTTACATTCTTATGATCATTACTCATAAGTCAATAAATCATACATCATTTTATTAATTTCATCGTGAGCTTCAAAGAAACCTAAATTAACTTAAAATTCCATTCAAACTTAATCATTTTATTTTATTTTTTTTTGGTACAGGGACCTTCCGGTTTCCGGATCCACAGGGGAACCGAATAATCTGGAATCGAGCCGGGTAGGACCACAAGGGCGGCAAAGTTCTCCCTCAAGAGTTTTAACACTGCTGCATTCACAGGGCTCGAACTCGAGACCACTGGTTAAGCTGGAAGAGACCCAAACCATCTCATCCAAACTTAATCATTAAATTCGCTAAAAAAAACAATAACATGTAGTTTCTTTAGTTGCAT